TGAAAACTCACTAAACATATTTTACTTTTAATCTTGGAGTGTAACAGCCACATATGGCTGAACTAAAATAATAAGTAGCAAAACTTCACTTTATGATTAAAACTGCACTTGTTTATCAGGGGCACCACTCATCTTCTTTCTAAACAGGCCATCTGAGAGAACTTTATCAGGAATGTTTTAGATTGAATATTAATAATTCATCAAATATACTTGCATTGATCATTCTTACTATCAAAAGTTGTGAACTCTGATATCATAAACCTCCAGTTCCCAAACAAAGAAATACACAGTAGAACCGACGATAATTACGCACAAAGATTTACTAACTAATACTACAAACAAACACCAAGACAACAGTGACATAACAAACAACAGACAGTGAATGAATGAATACCAAACTAATTCATTAGTTGTGGTGGTCACTGAAAGCCGTTAGGAGAGCGGTGATCAGTTGTGAAAAAAAAATTGAATTGGAAGCCAATTATACATTTTAAATTCACCCTTTTACCAGAAGGAAAATGACACTTGCAACAACTTTGTAGGAGGGAGAGAGAGGCTTCAGCAGAATGTGTCGCTGTGAGAATCTGCTGGATGAGTTGGTTCAGGAATGCAAAGACAAGTCGGGACCTTTGCATGGATGCATTGAAAAAGTGCTCAAGTAAAAACACCAAGAGTCGAAGCTCAAAGTTAAAAAGCAAATGTTTGCGTCATTGTTTTAGAAAAGTTAACTTAAGAAGCCCAACTTGAAGTAAAACATAAAAAGACAAAGCCCAATTTAAGTTGTCGAAAATTAATCCTTAATGAGCTCAAATTAACGAGTCAGAACTCACATAAAAAGAAGCCCAAGTAGATATTAGAGAAAAAATCTGAGTAAAAATCAGGCATCGTTGCATTGCACTGACTTTCTTTACAACAGAAAGTTTTGGAGCCAAATTCAAATCAGCATCTAACCAATCATGGATGTGTTCATTCCAAGGCGTCGTCTTGAGCTTCACTGTACAGGAGAGGTCAGACGCCAAATACCTTTAGAACTTACTCGTTGTAAACGTACAAATCCAATTGTTTAACATCTGTGATGATCACAGACTTTCTTCTATATTCCATTTTTATTTTATTTTATTTTATTTTAACTTCATTTCATACCCTACCCTAATATAATATTATATTGTGTTGTCGTTTTGCTTTGCTTACCCCCTTTGTTGAATATTCATGCTGCTTTAACAACTGAATTTCCTTCTGGGTAAAATGAAGTCAGTCTAAGTCTAAGATGTAAAATCCCACTAAATGTGTATACTGTATATGAAAGTAATTGCTAATGTAATTATAAACACACGCATATCCTTTCAACAATAAGATAATTAAGACTTTAGAAATATATATGCTGAGAGTAAAAGACTCTCTGTGTCTTTTACGGCTGTGACAGAGAAAAGGGGGGTGTTTGTGCTTCAGAATCGATTTGTTCTTCTTCAGTACTAGTCCTGATGACCTGGTATCATAGATTTGCTCATGTCACAGTTGAGGTTTTTCTCAGACTTTCAAAATGTGCTTTGAAGTCTCGTCATCCTGTTAACACTTTGTTCATTACACAGGACACAGTCACAAGACATCAGACTACACTGTTGTTCAGCAGCCGACAGAATCAGATTCAGACCATCCAGGAGAAGCAGAGACTCTCCAGTGTTCAGTCTTGTCTGACTCTGAGAACAAAACATGTTCAGGAGATCTGAGTGTGTTCTGGTTCAGAACTGGATCAGATAAATCTCATCCAGACATCATCTACGCTGATGGAAACAGACATGATGGATGTGAGAAGAGATCTGACACTCAGAAGAGCTGTGTTTATCACTTCTCTAAGACCTTCAGCTCCTCTGATGCTGGGACTTACTACTGTGCTGTGGCCACATGTGGACAGATACTGTTTGGAAATGGAACCACGCTGACTAATGGTATGATTTTATGTTCTGTGCTGAAGATATACAAAACATGTTAATGACATAATTAGTAAGAAATCTCCTTCTCTTTCAGAAGCAATTCATTTTTGTATTTCTTTGTTTTCTAGCACAAACTGCCCGTTCTGAAATAATTGCACTGGTGGTGGTAATAATCTGCTTGGCCATTTCTGTGATTGTAAATATTGTTTTCATCTGTTATCGAACTCCAAGATCAGCACGAGAACAATTCACAGGTAAGAGTTGTTTATTGAGTCACATTCTACACAGCAGTGATTTTACTCAAAAAGTTTCAAAGATCCAGCTTATTTGAATATGTCTTTTAAAATAGATAGTATTATATAATGATTTAATTTATTTAATCAAATTTTAAAAAATGAAATTAAACTTGTTTATTCTGTCATCTGTGGATGCCAACAGAGAGTCAGGTTAAGGACATAATATTCTTGTTTTTCATTCGTCATGAGGAACAGAATTCAGCTCATCAC